CTAAATTGATTAAGAGCTTATTTACTTGCCCTATTTAATAAGACCCAGTTTTATGGATATCTAAAAGGCCTCCGACACTGACTTCACCATGTAATTTAGACTATCGCTTGTGCAGTTGTATCGAAAAAATATAAAAAACCTCCAACACACATCTGTCCCCACCTTCTAGAAAATATAGGATTACAATTACCTTTTTACAGTGGAAGGAACAACTGTTTAACTGCGAATTCAAACTTGTAGGAGCCAATGGAAGTAATTACTCTTTTACAAAAACAGAAGAGAAGCACTCAAAACAAAAGAGAATAAATTTGTCTTTTTATTTTTTAACTAAATAAATTTCGCTGGAGTCCTGGACTAAATAGTTGTGGGCAAAGAACGCGTCGCACAGTACCTTCCCCAGTTGTACTAAATAGTTGACCCAGAGTCTTTCTATATTCATATCTGAAGAAGAATATTTCAATGTACTAAATATATTCTTGCTCATCTTCTCTTTGTTTTTTTGGGTTCGAATTCACTTTACTTGTGACATCAAAATTTATGTTAAGGTCTCCCACAAAATTTCAGAGTTGGCTGTTGTTTGGGTGTAGTTATGGCATTGGTCTTAGTAGGAGGAGCTGCTCTGGGAGCAGTATTTGGGACGCTGCTTGATGGCGTTATAGCTGTGACTTCGAGGGCTATAATGTTTAAATCCCACCTCAGAGATCTCAAATTCACCCTGGACTCTTTTCAGCAAGTGGACGAAGATGTAAGACAACATCCCAACATAGTGTTTCGCACAATGCAGGGCCTAGAAAGGTTTATAATACAAATGGAGAAGGGCGCTCAGCTGGTTGACAAATGCTCAAAGGTTCGCCCATGGAAGTTGAACGCTTTCAAAAAGCCTATGTACACCAGCAAACTTGTTGCATTGAATGCATCTCTCAAAACACTGTTAAGTGTACTGACAGTGCACATAATAAGTGATCTGAGGGCTCGGGTGATCAATGTGGAGACAACGTTGAACCAAATCGATGCGAATATTGTGGCACAATATCAAAATCAAAATCAAAACCAAATTAGAGGTTGGTGTGCAATACCAGAGCCTCCACCCTTTACTGTTGGGTTGGATGTGAAGGTGACGGAGTTGAAGATGGAGCTTCTTAAAGACGAGGCATCAATGCTTGTGGTGACTGGTCTTGGAGGATGCGGGAAAACCACACTGGCACAAAAGATTTGCAAAGATCAGAAAGTCAAAGGTATGGTATACAAGTATATCAATTTCTATAGCCTTATTTTTATACTAATTGGTGAAGTTTTTTTTCATTCATAAATTGAAAAGTTCTATACCACTTATAATCTAGAATTTAGAATGTGTTGAAGAAAGAATTTGTACAATTGTAGACAGATTTAAATGACCTCTTGGTGACTACTTTCTTGTGTTCTAATTGGACAGAGAAATTCAAAGGCAATATCTTTTTCGTCACTGTTTCAAAGAAGTCCAACTGCCTTGTTGTACAAGAACTATGTCGAAAAACCGAATCCCTGGTACCTGCTTTCCAAGAAGAAGCAATTGCATTTAACTGGCTGCAAGAATTTCTGAATACAACAGGACAAGATCCTCTACTTTTGGTCCTGGATGATGTATATCCAGATTCAGACTCCCTTCTTGATAAGCTTGATGAATTCAAAAGGCCAAATCACAACATTTTGGTGACATCAAGAGTTAAATTTCCAAGATTTGGTCCTGCATATCTTTTAGGAACATTGGAACAAGGAGATGCAATGACTCTTTTTCGTCATTCAGCATCCCGGACTGATAGGAGCTCTTATATACCGGACAATCTAGCGGAACAGGTAATTTCTTATTTGCATTTCAGAACATAATTTGTGTTTATTGTGCCTCACAAAACAAGGAGACAAATAAACTTCATTTTCTATGTGAAGGGTCCATATATGCAAGTGAACACATTTTGATATCTGAAAATACACATAACTTTATGCCTACTTTACTTATAAACAAAATCGAAAATAAGAATAAGGAGAAGCAGATAGCCGGTTAACCATTTTCTTATCTTCATTAAACAATTGATATGATTTGGAGAGGAGGTTAAATTTTCGATGTGCAAGTAATTTACTTCATTTAGGGACAATTTAACTGCAGATAGTTCAGCTCTGTAAGGGATTTCCACTTGCCATTACAACTATCGGAAGATCAGTTTGCGAACAGCCTACAGAGATTTGGGAGAAAAGAGTAGCGAAATTGTCTAAAGGTTCTTCTATTCTTGATTCTGAGGATTATTTGCTTGCTTGCCTCAAAAGTAGCTTAGATGCCTTGGATGAAAGAATGCCTATCATTAAGGAATGCTTCATTGACCTTGCTTCATTTCCTGAAGACCGAAGTATCCCTGCTGTTGCTCTCATTGATATGTGGGCAGAGTTATATGGGCTAGATGAGGACTTTTGGTCCATTGCGAACATCCACGAGCTAACCAATCGTAATCTGGCCAATCTAGTTACAAGGTATGCAAGCTTCAATTCATTTCCTCTTTGATATCTTTTCTCACTTTACCTTTTCTTTGATTGTAAGCAACATATTTATAATCATAACCAGGAATGGAAAGATGGAGTTGGATAGCTATTACAATGAACACTTTGTTACGCAGCATGATATGCTTAGAAATCTGGCTATCCAACAGACTGGTCAGGACAGAATAGGACAGAGAAAAAGGCTGATTATAGACATTTGTGGTGACAATCTCCCTAACTGGTGGACAGAACAAAAAAATAAGCCCAAGAAGACCCGCTTATTATCTATCTCAACTGGTTGTCCCGTCTCTCCTTCTTTACCAAATACATATATCACAAACACACACACACATGTAAACACTAAGGCTTGAATATAGTACTTCTTCATGTTTGCAGATGGATCGTCCTCAGCAAAGTGGCACAACATGCATCTACCAAAAGCTGAGTTTCTAGTTCTGAATTTTCAGACAGAGAACTATGTTCTGCCCAAATTTGTGAAGAAAATGTCCAAGTTGAAGGTTCTGATAGTCACAAATTATGGTGTCTTACAAGCTGACTTGAGTAATTTCAAGCTTTTGGGTTCTTTGCCTAATCTGAAGAGAATAAGATTAGAGCGCATTTCAATTCCATCCATAAGCGAGAACTCCATGCAGTTGAAGAGTCTGCAGAAGATATCTTTATTCATGTGCAGCATCGGTCAAGCTTTTAGCAACTCTTCCATCCAAATCTTAGAGGCATTTCCAAATCTAGTGGAATTGAACATCGACTATTGCAATGACTTGGTGGAATTGCCTGCCAAGCTCTGTGATCTTATCCACCTAAAGAAGCTCAGTATTACCAATTGTCATAAGCTATCCGCCTTGCCTAAAGAGATTGGAAAGCTGGATAATTTAGAGGTTTTGAGGCTAAGGTCCTGCGTAAACTTGGAAGGGCTTCCAGGCTCGATTAAGAACCTCACAAGGTTAGACTTTCTTGACATAAGTAATTGTTTCAGCATGAAGGAGTTGCCTGAAGACATTGGGGAAATGAGTGGTTTAAGAAAGATCAACATGGGACAATGCTCAAGATTGAAGGAGTTGCCTCTATCAGTTTTGCATCTTGGGAAGTTACGGGAAGTGATATGCGATGATGAAACAAAAATATTATGGGGAGAACCTTTTAAACAGAGTCTCACAAACCTACACATAACAGTGGTGAAAGAAGACTTCAACCTGAATTGGCTCCACAATCTATGAGAGGTCACTGTCCTTAATGAATGTAAGTTGGGGGCAATGTCTCTGTCAGTGAGTTGCGTTTCAATTCCTTTATTTTTCCTAATGTTCTTCTCTATTGCTTTGCTTGTTTTTCATTTTGCTTCTGTATGAGATATTGCATAATAAAAACAGTGTGAATGAGAGGATTTGGATTTACAAACAAACCATATACTAAAGATTTATTAATGTACAAGTGCGATTTCTTATGAGGAAAGGCAGAGGAGGGCAGGGGCTAACATATTACTTGGAGCCGAAGGCAAAGCTTTACTGAATTAATGGTGAAAGATAAATAATATCTTAGGCATGTGGTTTCAAATTGCAATCCCATCAAAGAAGTCTAATAGGAAAGCATGGAAAAAAAATATCAAGTTCAGGTTCGAAAACCAGTCAAGAACAGATAGCCAATTATGGAAAAAAAGTAGTTGGTTTAAACTTTAAACAATCAGAGATAATATTACGCACCATATCCATATCATATGGAACGCGGTTTAGAAGTCTCTGTCCGATCCAACCATAAAAGCCAACTTGGAAAAGACCCATATTAATACCAAGTCAATAAATATAATGTTATGGCTTGCTCTATCAAGTCATGTTGTTGTAGAGTCAATTGTCTCAATTTATTCAACTGTTCCAAGAATTTACAACTTCATTCATTGTTTAATTTAACTGTCATTAAGTTAGTAATTAAGTTGATGCTCGTAACGTTACTCTTCCTACAAATTGATGGGAGCTTCTATAATGAGGAGTTTAGATTTAGAGTGAGGAGCTTATTTGAGAAATTCAATCTCACCATTGAACATTTAAAATGTTGAAGTTCGTTGATTTTTTCTTATTTATTGATGGTGAAATTGAACCCCTCAATTAAACTCCTTATTGTAGTCTTTTCGCAAATGAATAATCAAGGTGGTGTTTGGTTTTGGCCCAACCCTGGTTCAGTTCACACCAATGCAAGTCAGCTGCCGTCCAAAGTATAAATACCTATCTTTATGCTGCTGGGTTACGTTTTTTGTTTTTAGGCCTCCTGAAGATGGTCCTTCTTAAAAGCCCATTGGGTCCCAAATAGAGCAGAGAGGCCCAAAATAAAAACTAAAAGGCGTGAAGGACAAAACAACAAATGTCTAAATCGAGAAACAAATCCAATCAGACAAATGATGGAGAGGCCGCTTTACTTGACTCTACATTCAAACCTGTACATTAACTTATGTGATTTTAGATCAACTCCTGTACGCGGAGAGGAGAAATTATTACATGACATTCATATATGGATGATTGCTCTGAGTTTTGCCGTGTGTATTCACTTCATTCTCAGCAAAAATGAAGCTTTGAATATGTTTAAGACTTAAGAAGCTGACCTCAACAAGAAAATAAATATTATGATTAGATAAAGGAGGAGAGTATGAATCTGTTGACTTTTCTGAAATTTTAACATTGCTTGATGTTTGTGGCATGTTGGGCGGTTGAAGTGGCCAAAAATTTGGTCTTTGCTGGTTGAGTTAAGCTCTTCGGACTTTCATAGTTGAGCTACAGCTCCAACCATGGGAGGTCTCGTCTCTCCCACCGCTCATCATCTATTGCGTCTCCTGCTCTCCTCCTCTCTGAGCAAGCGAAGGGAACCCAATTCGGCACCATATTGAAGAAGGTTCGTTAAAGTTCATTTTAAAATCAAGTACATGTTTTCAAATTTTGGGCGTTGGGTGCTTCTACTAATTATGGCACTAGAATTTATCGGTGGAACACTGTTTACGCTGCTCTATGATGGCGTTAAGCAAGCCATGAGCAAGAGCGGCACCTTTAAATCCCTTCTCGGAGATCTCAAATCCACCCTAGACTCTTTGGTGGCTAGAGACATCCAACAAATTGGAGAGCATAACGTCGAATTGGGTCTCCCAAATGAGGAAATCGAAGGTCTCAAAATGCTAATGGAGGAAGGTGTAAAGCTCGTTGAGAAGCTATCGAACTTTCACATGTGGAACTACTGCTGCTTAAATGATTACAGTGAGCAGATTGTTGAATTGGATAGGGCTCTGAAAAGATTGTTGCAGAAATTGAAGATGCAAGAAGCAAGGGATGTGAAGGAGGTGTTGGTTTTGGCAAGGCAAAACCGAGACAAGCTCGATGAAGTGAATAGAAGACTGTTGGATATACAGAAATTGCTGCAGGAGAGAGCTGGGGATGTCACGGAGAGCTCGGTTTCAGGAGGCAATGCGGAGACGGTGCGGGAGCAAAGTCAAGGGAATGGTGAGCAACAAGGTGAATTTCTTGGAACAAGATTTATGTACTGTCCAATTGCTATTGTTTTTTCTTTCTTACATTGTCAACTTTTTATTTTCCATTTTCTGGAGTACATGTATACAGAGGTTTTATTGTAGCAAGAAGCATCATTGAATACTTCTGAAATTTAGATTAGAAGAATGGTAACTATGCACCAATATCTGATGTAGAAATTTAACTTTTTTCCTTTTTGAAAAAGAAAACAAAGATGAACACCAATGGCTAGCAAGAGCTTAATACCCCTTTGATCAGTAGACGTAGCTTGTTTATATTGTCTTTTCTGATTCAAGGATAGCATGTTATTCTTTCTGTTTGTTTGATCACCAAACAAAGCAAGATAAAATTGAGTTTTCTGTTGCTTGGCTTTGAGTCGCTTGATTGTTGTCTTCTTGGGTTCCAAATGACCTTAGGTTGCATTTAAATGTATGGAGTTCAAATGAGGGATTTGATTCAACTACTTGGATTAAATTTCTGGTATCAAATGTTTAAAGGAATATACGGAAAGAGTTTTGATATTTTCTTTAAATGAATTGAGTGTTTACTGATTCTTTTTTTTCAGTTCTGTTCCTCTCTATCATCAGTTACTAGAGGCGAAGAGAACGGACTGGTAAACTCTATATTTAAATTATTTTCGATATTTCCTTCCTTGCTCAAATAATCAGATTTATATGTAGATCTTATTAACATAAAAAGTTAATATTTCTACAGTCCAACTAAGCAATTGACATTAAAAATTCAAATTTAAACCCTCATTTTATATCCATATTGGATTCTAAATTTAATAAAAAGTTGAGTACTTTTGTATTGCTTGGTTTTGCTTGATTCTGTTCTTGGGTTCCTAATGAAATTAATTTATTGGATTTAGGTGGTGTCTCTCACTTTTTTTTTCTTCACATGTTGAGACAATTATGAGTTATCTGATTTTGGTGGTGTTGTAATTATGCAGTGACGTCGTTCGATGGAGGGACTTCTCTACAAGCAGTTTTTGTTGTGTTGTTTGATGTGGTTATAGAAGTGAAGGACAAGACTACGGTGTTTAAACCCCTCCTTGGAGATCTCAAATCCACACTAGACTCCTTAAAACCATTGATCGAAGAGATTGCAAAACATAACAAAGTATTAGATCGCCCAAAGGAGGAACTAGAAAATTTTAGAAATCAAATGGAAATGGGTGTAGAGCTCATCCGCAAGTGCTCCAAGGTTCGTTTGTGGTCCAGCTGCAAACAGTATAAATACAGGGACAAACTTTTGGGATTGGATGAATCTCTTCAAAAGCTGTTAAATATACTAAAAGTGCAGGTAGCAAGAGATGTGAAGGAGACGTTGGTTTCAGTAAAAAATATAGAGGCAGTGATCCAGAAAATTGAAGGAAGTGGTCTGGTGCAAGATCAAATTCAAACTAAAGGTTGGGGTGCATTACCTGAACCTTTATCGCCTAGAGTTGGATTGGATTTAGTGAACGTGCAGGGAACAAGGGATGTGAAAGAGACATTGGTTTCAGCTAGGAATACAAAGGCGGTTGTTGATAAAATTGAAGGGAGTGGCGCGGTACAAAATCAAAGTGAGTGCGCAGTACTTGAACTTCCATTTCTTACAGTTGGATTTTGAATATAGGAATTGAAGATGAAACTTTTTTTTTTGGTCAATTAAGATGAAACTTTTTAGGTTATGTTTTGTTTGAAGGAATGGAATGTACTCATTCCTATAAAATGACCATTCCAATTTTTCTGTTCACAAATAAGAATGGGAATAAATTTTTTTGCTCAAGCTTGGTTTCAAATTGTAAACCAAACAATGGATTGGATTCAATCATTACTTGATTCCATTCCATTACCATTCCTATTCTCATTCTAATTATATTCTATTTCTTTCATATATGATTTGTGCATATTCTTTGACATTCTTTAGGGGCAGCCGAAAATCATAGCAGGAATATAGATTCAAATGCTAGCAGGAGCAGAGGGAGTGAATTTTCGGAGGCAGTAACCCGACGAATGGACAAGTCACAGAGTGATGGGAAAATTTTGGAGACATCCAACTTAAGAATTTTCAGTTTTTCAGAGTTGAAGGCTGCTACTAGGAATTTCCGCGGAGACACAATGGTTGGTGAGGGAGAATATGGGCAGGTTTTCAAAGGTTTGGTGTATGAGAAGACACTTGCACCTTCTAAGGTTGGCATAGGATCACCTGTTGCTATCAAGAAATTGAACCCAGGAAGTGCAAAAGGTTTTCAAGATTGGCAGGTACTATTTTAAACTCTAATAACATTATTGAGCATTTTCCGTTATCAGCATTTACATGTGAAGACAACATCTATAATAACAAGATGATGTCATGAGTTGGCAAGTCTATTGCCTCCGCTTTATTACCGTTATCATTTTTTCATGAAAGAATGGTTCATTCATGAAAGATTTGAGCCATGCATTGATTAGTTAGCATTTAGGAGATCATGTGTCAATCAGCACGAGGCTGTGTTGGGACTTCAAATTCATTTTCATCTTAAAACACCATTTTGTGTTGAGACCATTCAGCACTAGTATTAAAATGGTAATATGACATATAAAAGTAATTCGTTGGAGGTTACATCATTCTTATTCTTATTTAATGCCATTCTGATTTCTATCCTAGTTATACAATTTGGTGCATGGGTTATGCTTAACCATTCTCTTCCTACATATTTTCAGTGTTATGCTTTCTTTTGAAGCTAACGAGTTTCTTGTATATTTGGCAATGTAGTCAGTGGTGAACTTCTTAGGGAAGCTTTCTCATCCCAGCCTTGTCAAGCTATTAGGATACTGTTGGGAGGATTATGATCTACTCCTTGTTTATGAGTTCATGCCAAGAGGAAGCTTGGAGAATTACATTTTCAGAAGTACGAAATCAATGATGAAAACAGGGAACTGAAAGTAACATATTTTTTCTTGTTCACCATCACAAATTTATTTTGTTGACTCCAGAATTTTCATTTCGAGTAGGGAGATCTAGCACTGAACCACTATCTTGGGACAGCAGACTCAAAATAGCTATTGGAGCAGCTCGAGGCTTAGCTTTCTTACACACTTCAGAAGTACAAATCATATACAGAGATTTCAAAACCTCAAACATATTGCTTGATGAGGTTTGTTCCTTTTTAACCCAACCTTTCTATCTCTCATTGTGCATTAAGTGAGTCTACTTGTGCATGACATTGATTATTCCTCTCTTTGGTTTTTACCCCTCTTCTGTATTTATCTTCTGCAGAATTATAACGCAAGAATCTCAGATTTTGGCATGGCAGAATTGGGGCCAATTTTTGTAGAGTCGCATGTGTCAACTAGGATTGTGGGCACATATGCTTATGCTGCTCCAGAGTATTTTGGAACAGGTAATGATGGAGGCTATTTAGAAATTTTATGCATTGTGGCTTTGTCCTGACAAATTCACTAATTTAGATTCTTCGTAACCCCCTTGCTCATTACTAACACCAGGCCTTGAGCCTTGAGAGTTTGGCTTCAACTACCAGAATATTTACCTTATATGTTTCTACTGGGGGAAATCAATGAATGAGACATCTTTTGTACACAGATCTTTCTAACTGGCATTTTGAAATAAACTAATATAAAAAGTGCATCTTTATCTTGAATCAGCTGCTATTTCTCACATGTGCACTATAATTAATTAACAGGTCATGTTACCACGAAGAGTAACGTGTATTGCTTCGGTGTTGTGCTGCTTGAAATTCTGACTGGGTTCCAGGCACTTGATAGGCGTCGCCCCATTGAACAGCAGAATCTGGTCGAATGGGCTAAACCACTTTTGTCTCATGAAACACAGTTGAAAACCATCATGGATCCAGGGATTGAGGGACAATGTTCCTTAAAGGCAGCGTTACAGACAGGACAGATTATTCTAAAATGCCTAAAACTAGATCCTAAAAGCCGACCTTCCATGAAAGAAGTTGTGGAAGCATTGGAACATGTTCAGGAAATTAAGGAATAACCCTAGCAATCCCTCCAAAGTGCTAAGACTGGATCTACAGATATTATGTATGTACAGATATTGAACAGTCGTCTTCTTTTTAGTTCTTTTTTCCATGTTGAATTTTTATATTTTGGGCGGCAACTGTTGGAATTCGTAACAAATTATGTTGTTGTAGTCACCATTTGTGCAGAATTGGAGGATCGTTTCTTAAACCACACTATCATCTTTTTCCCTCTTTTTTTTTTTTTTTTTTTTTTTTTTTTTTTTTTTTTTCTTTTATCCTAACAATGGTTCAAGTTCAAGAAAGTTATACATTTGGCATTGAACCATTGTGCCAAGTGGCATCCACAGAGCATCACAATTACACTTATGGGTGTCACGTTTCTAGAAACGTGTCTATCCAAATTGTCATATCTCAATATCCTATGGAAGGAAAGCTGAAGAGCTGGAAGTATTGAATCTGCTGAGACGAGATAAAACTGTCAGGAACGTTCAAAAGTCAAATTATTTCACAAAGGGAAATACGGGAGAGAAGTATTAGACAAATTTTCTTTGGATAAATTACATGGAAGTGAAGGAGTTGTGAGTCCGACCAAGGAGGGTCGTGACAAATTAAATTGAGAAGTAGTGGTGTTGGATGAAGTATCATTTCACTCACGTGGGCTTGAATGCCGCAATTGACAGGAGTGGAACACTATGGTTCTTCTTCCCTGCTCTCTTACACGGTGAATTTTAACTCCAAAATTTCTTGGAATTCCAGCCACTGTGAGTTTGACCGGCAACTTGGGTTACTTCTGCCCATCTTTCTGGAAATGGAACCAAGTTCAGAAAGAGGAAGAGGAAAGATACATAGGCCGATGAGGCAGAAGTAGAGCTGGAGCTTTACCACATACAGAGGTGGTTTCAGAAATTCAAGAAGATGGTGAACAGGAACCGGAAGCTTTGCATGGGGCAACACCTGTACCTATGGTACAGGTGGATGTTCCTATGATGAAGTTGCTCGTTGAGTTCTTATGGGCAGGAGGACATGGAGTTGATCAACCTGCTTCTAAGGATCCTCCATTGCCTGAACATGTTGCTAATTTTCGATTGTGTGCCTTGAGTATCGAGTTGAAGATACTAAGAGCTCAACCTTTCTTTGGAGAGAGTGTTTTGGGGTCTCATCTCATGTGAGCACGTTTGAGTAGAAATCTTTCATTAGAATCAGAAATTAGTCATGGTAGAGAGAGGAAGATGATGATTACAATTTGGTAAATATGATCCTTTACAATTCGATAAACATGATCTTTTTTTCTATTTCTCTCAAAGAATCATGTTGGTAAGGTCGTTTATTGATTCTAAAGAGAGAAGGAAAATATCAACAAGTCAAAGAGCTCAGACTTCTCTTAGGGGGAGAGCTAGAAGAGAATCAAATCAAAAATGGAAGCGTTTAGCTTTCAGAGGAAGATTAAGCATTACAGCAGCTATTAAAGGATATTCTTAGTGGAAAAAGGAGACTTCTCTTCCTCTGCTTGTTTGGATAGAGCTATTGGCTTGGCTGCCAACCTGGTTGTGGAGGATGAAGCATGGGAACTCGAGTAGTAGATGCGGGCCCAGTACCCACACCCTTTGGAGTGACAGGTATGAAATTTCGGGGACGAAATTTTTATAAGGGGAGTAGTTTGTAACACCCCGACTCCAAATTTAATCCCCTATTTAACTTATTTAAGTGAAATTACAAAATTGCCCTTGGGATATTAAATTGTGAATTTTGTGCATGTTGAAACTTGGGGAATGTTCAATTTATAGGGGAGACCTTGCCAAAAGGAGGCTACATTTTTTAGTGAGTGAGCTCGGTATGGGTGTGATGCCTAGGTTTCCACAGGATTCGTCTCGGGTTTCGGGAAATTCGGAGCGGGTCCTGTCATACATGCGCCAATAGCCATAAAAAAATACACAAATCTTATGCACACGATCAAAAAGTTCACCAAATGTGATGGTCCATGGTACTTTTATGCATTTTGAGTCACCCCATTCGTATTTGCACATCTTCTTTGAGGTTACCGATTTTCCATTGTAGCAAACCAGAATAACAATTATCTCCATTTCTGACCATGACAAAACAACATTTCATTAACACATGTGAAGCCACTAGCAAATCACTGCAATAAAACCCATAATAAACAGGCAATACAAGATCAATTCAACACAACAGCAATACAATAGCAATACAACAGCAACACAACAGCAATACAACAACAATAACACAGAAATAAACAAGGATTCATAAAAATCAGACTACACAAATCTACTACATCAACTGGAAAATCCCAAGGTTTAAGATTCACGTATCTAAAGTAATCTAAAACCATTTGGTAAAAACCTAGATGGATGAGCATGAAGATTCAACACATAACCCAAAGCAATCAAAATAAAACCAATTCACAGCATCCCACATAGATTAAGAAAATGACCATCAAGACTACCTATTGGAGGTTGGCAATGAAGTTGAGCTTCAAGGTTGCAAGTAGCTGTGACCTTACACTACTCTAAAAACATACCTAGAAGATGGGGTCGAAAGGGGGGTTTCGCGATTCAGAACAGAGAGATAATAGGATGAAATGAGTTTCGCAAAGCGACCGACAGAGAGCACTATGAGAATACCAGCTGCGCGAGAGGGATAGAACTGCATGAGAGAGAGAGATATATATATATATATATATACTGACCAAAGTTTTATGTGGCCGATAAGTGGGTAATAATTATGTATTTATAGGTTATATTTGCAAAATGTGTGGGTAAATATGGTATTTTCAGATTAAGTTTGGAGTGCAGTGGCATTCAGTGCTATTTCCCAAGTAAAAACGCGTTAAGCCATGTGACTCGTGTCCTTCTTACCAGAAGTCTTGTAGTAGAGTTAAATAAGCCTCTAGTGTATGCTAAACCCAAGAAGTTGCAGACAATCTTCAAAGTTTGGATCTAAAGAAAAGTTTCTTTCACTTTTCTTTTAGACTGAAACGAGTACCGAGTTGTCCAATTTTACTGATTGGCAAGAATATCTGGAATAGGGAAGCTTTTAGCATGGGGTGTTGTTGGAACACTATGTTCTGAGCTGTACAAGGGCATTGTGAAACTGATCGGCAAGTTTAGGAAGTTGAAGCCCCAGCTCGAAAACATCCGGTCCACGCTTCACTCTTTGCAGCCATTAATCGTTCAGATTGAAGGTCAGAACAAGAAATTAAAGTTCCCAGACGATAAGCTACAAAATATTAAAAATGAACTATGTAAGGGCCTAAATCTCATCCACAAGTGCTTAGAGAATCCAGAGTGGTACAAAATGCCTAAATACCACGACCAACTTCTTGAATTTGATAGGTCTCTCAAAAGGTAGTTAGATTTGATACCGGTGCAAGACTGAGGGATGGGAGGACGTCGTTGCTTATGCAAACAGAACAAGCCGGCAAACTTGATGAGTTGATAGGTTATGAGAATGAGAACTTGGAGTTGACCAGGCGAATAAAAAGGATTTTGCCTAAGCCGGAAACAGAGACGAGTAAAGCTTCACCCATTCCGGTTGGATTGGGTATGCCTTTGAAGGAATTGAAGAAGCTTCTTGAGGATGGGGTGTCAAGACTTGTACTGACCAGTCCTCAAGGATATGCAAAAACCACATTAGCGAAACAGTTTTGTCAAGATAAGGATGTCAAAGGTATAATCAAGTTCTTTTATTTTTCTTCCAATTGGTTGATTTAAATGTCATTTACTTTCATTATGGTATGTTAAAGAGATAGTTGCTTAAGTTGAAGCAATTCTTCTAGGGGGAGGCTTGGGTATCATGGGTGCCTAGTGCAGTAAGACATTCTCATAGGTAGTGTTCAGGGTGGTGAAGACCTCAAACCTATGCTTGGATGTGAAGGGGAGTGGGGCCGGTCACTTGTCCTGGGAGGGTTGCGTCCACTGGGCTAGTGGTGGTTATCATGTCTGTCACGCTTGCTATTACTGAAGGTATGCTGGTAGCTGTCCTTTCTTTTGGGGTGCTGAGCACCCTAGGTACTTGGTGTCTAGGCAGAATGTTAAGGTGAGGCTGGGGTGAGTACTGAAGCAGGTGGAGAATTAGCACAAGTGTTACGTGCAGAGGGGGCTGGGCCACGCTTGGAGTTGAAATACTCGGCCTTGGGGTGAATGGTTGTCTGCTTCATTAGCTCTGCATATGTGTTCCAAGGGTTGCTGTGAACTAGGTACCGGAAGTTGGACTCGCGAAGGCCACTCTTGAAAGCACCAAAGGCGACACGATCGTCAGTCCCCGAGCAGCGAGAGTATTCATGGCTGAAGCTGGCTGCATACTCCCAAACGAGTTCATCCTCACCCTGCCGAACCATGTACAAGTCGTCTGTAGAGTACAGGCTATCAGTCTGGATCATGAAATGGTCCAGAAAAGTCTACTTCAGGCTGTCAAATAAGTTTATGATGCAGGGGTTCAGCCTGTAAAACCAATTCAGGGCCACGCCGCTAAGTGTGGAAGGGAAGAGGAGGCACATGTCTTCGTCACTAAGGCTCTTGCATCCGAGGGCAGACTGGAAGGAATAGATATAGGTGACAGGATCCTCCGTACCAGTGTAGAAGGGTATATGGAGTGGCTTAATGTCTCTCTTTTGGTGTTAATTGAGGATACGTTCGGTAAAGGGCCCAAGTCATGGCTTCGCCCAGAGGGGCTGGTAGCTGCGCTGCTGCTCACTCTCCAGGCGTTGGACCTTCTCAAAGAGAATTCTCATGGCTTGGTCAGCATGAGGGAGGGTCTCGGGTGCTGAGGACCTGGGGTGTGGATTGGCAGGGGCTGAGTAAGGTTCCCAATCTTCTAACACCTCGGTGTGATAATTTTCCCAGTCTTCTGAATGATAATTTTCTCAGTCGTCCGAGTCCCCTGTACCTTCTCCAGCGGATAGCTGGGTAGGCTTCGATGGGGCCCCTAAGTGTGTCACCCTTGGGTCTTGGAGATTAACGAGAATAGGAATAAAGTCTGGTTGACGGTCCAAGAGACGGTCTCTGCAATCTCTGTAGACCTTCATCGGTTCATGGGGCCGGTCCTTCGGCAGGGATATGTGAAGGAGCCGCGACTTGGTCGTCTCCGGATGGAGAGGGCCTTTACCCTTGCTGAGCCTAGACTGGACTGGGGCACTATGACGAGAGTGTCTCGGCTGGTTTGGCTGGGTATGCTCAGCATCCTGGGTGAAGT